AGTATTGTGGAAAATTGTGAAAAATGCCTATAGAGATGACGAACACGCGTCTGAGACGCGTACATTGGTGTACATGGTCACGCATGGACGGCAAAACAATGTAACTGAATTCTGTACACTAATCTTAACTGAATGTACAAGGGCGTCATTTCAAATTTTTTTTAAAAGGTGTGTTGACAATTAGGCAGGCGAAACGAACTCTCGGCGAGACAATAGATATTTTACTAAACAGTTATTAAAAAACAGCTTATGGCCTTAGTTACCTACGCTCAAGACCAATAAAAAAATTAACAGAATGTATTTCCGGCGGCGCGGAAATGCATTACAGTCGGGCCAAAATGCAATCGCAACGAATTTTAGGTACGCGTCAACAACAACCCCGCAATACTCCAAAATCGACGCCTCCGAAACGGCATGAATAACGCGAATTCGCGCCGACATGCAATAGGTACGCGGTTATTACACGCTCGTACTGGTTTTAAACATGTTCCACGTTGGCAGTGTCGACGCGTATAGTCGAAATAAATTCGCGCGCGCTAAAATCTGTTCGGTATCTGTACGGCGTACAACACGATATTATAATATTTTATCGTTTTCGAAACGGTATAGGCACGGAAAATTAGAATTTTTTTTTTATTCACTTAACTCGATTTATCGATCAGTATTTCACTCGCGAGTGCCTTTATACGATACGCAACGCGTGCGCGGTTATACAAATGTGTTATTATATTGACCGTAGACGGTATTTCCGCATTCGCAGTGTGCAGTAACCCGTTACTATATACCTAGGTACCGATACCTACCTGTACCTATTATCATTGCGCTTGTCGTGTTTTTTTATAATTTTTTTTTTTTTTTTTAGCTCGTGTATTTTTTCGGCAAACCGAGCGATTTGGCACGTGTCGTATAAACAGTAGCTAGCCATAGTATAGGTAGATACGCACGTCATAATCACTGTTTTCGTATAATATTTTACGTATGATTAGTAGACTGGCGATAATATACGCGCCTTCGCTTTTGAGAACCGAACGATAAATCGAAATTGCGCAAAACGCGTGTTATCCGCACGAGTATGCTCGCTTAAACCGAATTACCCACACCCCCACACCCCCTGTCACAATAATTTTGTTTTACACGCTATTCAAGCGACTATAATTCTTCGGTCCCGGGGAAGAAGGGCTTATGTCAGTTCCGTACAGTTCTCGACACAAGCAAATGATAAAAATACATATTTATGCGCTTGTGTAATTTACACTGAAAAACTGAAAGGGGAAAAAAGGCGGACATACTTCGCACACGGGCGCAGCCACTGTTGTAGGTGGGAAGTTGGGAAGGTAGGATACAGACGGGAATTGGATGTACCTATATCTGTAAACAACGATCAACCATTGCTAACGAAAATCGATTCTGATTCTTTCGTACAAATATCATTGTAAAACCATAAGCTTCTTTGCTCCATTCGGAATCTAAAATTACACCAGACAAAATTATTAAACAAAAAAACGTCAACATTCAATTTGAACCCTTGTTTCCTATGACTAAAGATATTACTTATAATATTTATTATTATTATTGTTGCATACCCATGTTGAGTCCAACATTACATTAACGTTTATTAACGTCTGTTTAACGTTCGAAATGCAGAAGACAATTTTATACCTAATACTTAATGTAGAAATAATATTATTCAATGTACTTTTATATGCGAAAAACAAATTATCGTTTTTTTTAGCGATTAACTTATTCTTCAGTTTTTGCCGGTTTTCAACCCCAATATTTCCTTCCTTACCCAAAAAAACAGCGATTTTCGTCGTCTTATTAGATAAATCGTTTTTATTTTTTTTTTTTTTTTGTTTATTCTTTTATCTCTCTCATTGTGTCGACCTAGATGACTATAGATTTCATCGTCTTTAATCACACCAGCTAGTACTAGTCAGTAAGTCATATTTGTTCTCATATTTGGGCCTCAGCCAAAATTGTTGTACATACAATATAATCAAATATCAGTTATCTTCTTTTTCCGGGGACTTAAATCGGTAGTAATGAGCACTTTAAAAGCTGGTGATCTGCGTGACTGCGTCTTGCTCATTATCGCATTTTCCGTCATCTTTCATTCCCTGTTTTACCATATAGCCGCCACAACGAAAAGGGTTTATATCGATTCAGGTTATATCTTTTTACAGCATCGCTTATGGAAAAGACCATATCTCTCACTATTGGTACAAAGGGAATATATTAGCAGTTGGAAAAAGTGAGATTTGATCATAAAATTCCTTTTAAATTTTGGTTATTTTGGATTTTGGATCAGAACGGTTTTTATGGTATAAAATGGTTTTAAAATCGGATATCGATAATCAGAAACATTTTCCCGGAAACAGAAAACAAACAAACGCATACCTATTATCATTTCGCTCAGTCTAGAGTTTCCACTACCTACCTCGTTGATTATTATTATAGCCTTCTATTTGACTACTCTGAATAGTGTTGCACACGAATTTAATGCGACAACATATTTTCTATTTTAACAATATACAATAACACGAGCAGCGTCCTTTTCGGAATTTTCCCGGTAAGTATCTATCTTACCGGTCCAACCCGATCTTGTACCGCGGGCAGACATATTATATACTCCCGGGATCGGGCAGCATCTTCGACGCAAGTAGGTATCTTAAATACACACCTTAGATACAATCGTATATTGTATCCCGATACAGTTCCGGGAAGTAACATCAAGTATTTCGTATCGCGATACTTGAGTACATAAGCACTTATCTACAGTATATAATACGTACTGTAGCTAGAAACTGACAACCAATGAAAGTATCGTGTAACTAACTATTTACAGATACTTATTTTGAAGCACCCGTATCCCGCCCGTCCCCGTGTACTCTCTCGTGTTATCGCGACCACCTACCGCCGCGATTGCGGTAACGCGCTATAATAGACGCACATCATAATAACGGTATCGATTGTTTACAATGTTTTTTTTTTTTTTTTTTTTTTCATGTATCGGATAGGTTAGTAGGTACACGTATCGAATATATATCATATGCGTAGCCATTATTTTGAGCGCACGCGTGCCTACGCAAGTCAGTGTTGCGGAATTATTATACCCGATCTCTATAATGAACAAATTGTACCTGCCTTTACGCAGCAGATACCTGCCTGTACGTAGTTGAATAATAGATCACCGAGACAAATCGATGAGAAAGTAACCGCGCGGCGAGCCTTAACGTCGATATAATAATATTATACTGTCTGCCGGCACGGAAAATCGTAATAATAATATAGAAGCAGTGTAAGCCAATGCTGTTTTGATACCGCCAAACTGAAACTGTTGTTACGCTGAACTCCTGACCACAATATAGGCATCGGGGGGTAATTACCGAGATTAATTAGGTACCAATAGTGTTTTTTTCTTTTTTCTGCTTATATACTCTTTTAAAGACCAGTTGAATCGTATTAATTTATTAATGAGAGGGGGGCGAATTTCGGGGAATGCTCGTGATAAAATCAAACATCAAAAAGTACTTGAAATGAAATTGTATTTTGAAATTTGAAGTCCGGGGGGGGGGGGGTGCAGATGCCCCGTCTTGACCCCCCACCCCCTCCGGGCGGCCGTGCTTATCGTACCTGTATATATTGATATCTACGCGGTCAAAAATCTCGACCGTGCGGTTCGAACGAAATGTTGACCTCGAGTCGGGTCCCGGCACGTTTAACGTGTACACGAATCGGGTCCCGGACATATTTATTTCGTTAGTATTTATGTTAAAAACATTAGTCCAGCCTATTAGAGTTGACCAGGAGCATGCTTCAAATGAATCAATACTACTTGAACATAAAACTTTATAAACTTTATAAAAATTTTCTCGCGGTATTCCGGCATTCGGATGCCCCCCTCCCCCCACCCCAAACATCTACTTCCCGAGGCAAGTGCCTTTAAAACCCTCCGTCAAACACGGCCCCGGTGTCGGTCGATGACTACGCGATGTCTAACAGCCAGCCTTTGGTATGCAACGGTGAATAATCCGTTCGGGCGACACCCGGTTTCGCATAATCGTTTCGTTCGTATTATCATATTCAATATAATATTATTGCCGCGGACCCGCCTCGAGTTTGATTTAAGCGACAAAATGTCCAGGGACCCGACTCGCGTTTTCCCGAACGGGAAACGGACGTTATAATATATTAACAAAACGATTAGGGAGGTGCCTACGTACACCCATACCTTTATTATTTTTTGTCCATTGGCAATTCAACCGCAAGATTTAAAAGGTACACGTGAAAATGGCGTTTGTTCGTATTTCGGCCTTCCTATTTCACGTTCGTATTTACCGCATTGTTTAATTACGGTGGCTCGATTTTTTTATGCACAAGATACCCCCCACATTCTACGCGTGGGGTTTTTTTTTTTTGTTTTTTTATTCAGCTTACACAGTGGGTGTAGCCAAACGCAAATTACTTACTCGCTTGTGTTAATTGGGTTATAATTTAATTTTCGTTATTTTTGAAAACCGCATACGCGATACGGGTACTTGCTTACCCGGGCAACCACTATGGATTAAATTTTAAATTTTATGTTCGGCCAAAAATTATAAATCAAGTAGGTAACAAATTGAATTAAGTAATGCGTCGCCCAACGGGTCTATAAAGACACTGAACGTATTCATAAGCGAAATTGAAAGACTTTTTTTTTTTTTTTAAATTTGAATAGGTGTGCTGTGTACCTATTAGTTATTGTTCATGTCAGAAGACAGAGAAAGCAATAGCTGTTTTTCCGTTGAATATTAACCAACATGTGACAATATTGTAAATACTAATCAAACCGTAAAAATCGGAAAACTCGAGTGGCCCGGTGGTGGTGGACGGCCTTATATAAACGGATTTTTCACTTTTCCAGCTCGTAGTTAAAACATTGTGACTCCGAGATATTATACTACTGCGACTGTTTTGCACCGTGCTCTTACAGAGAAACACGAACTTAACGAACTAAAACTATGAACACAAAAAAGGTATGTGTACTTAATAATATATAAACTTTTAAATTTACATAATATTATTTTACTGTCGGTAGAGATTCCGGGGCAAATATTTGCGCAATAAATACGACTGTTTTTTATTTATCAATAATGCAAATTTGGGAAAGCGTATACCTACTATATAATTTTTAGTTTTTTTTTTATCACGAATACACAAAACCGTTAAATAGGTACATACCAATGTTTTTGAAAATTAATTTTTTATAATAAACGTGATTTTGATTTTTTTTATTCCTACGATTATTATGTTAATTTATCTAATATTAAACTGCCTATGGTAAATTCCATATTGTTTTCAATTCCCGGGGGCAGTTAGTAATGTATTTTAATGTAATATTTATACTAATACCTGGGTACCGAAGGTGATCAACTAGGGGGGGGGGTAAATAATTTATTTGTGCGAATGTTTTCGAAGTTTTAACTTATTCTTGGGTAGTTAGGTAGATACCTAGGTAAGCCGTCAAATTAAATAAATATAACAGCGGGTAGGTACCGGGTTCAAGACCGCGTAGACAATAATCAAATATTATCAGATGGGTACCTCTACCTACAGATATATTTTTCAATTGTACATTAACGCCACGCCCTAGCACATGGCAACGTAAATAAAAAGGTTTTCTGGAAATTATGTATTAAACGGGAATTTCTCGTATTGCGATTACACATTATTATACTATCGAAAAAACTTCGTCGTTAACGGGCTGATTATAAATGTTCGGTCCTATCAGTTACCTATTCGTTCGTTTTAAAATCGTCATAGTGTTATGTTTTATTAAAAATCATAGATGGGTAGGAGGTAACGCGTGATTCTATATATTTTTATAAACGTACAAATAATGTTCTGTAATGTTAAAATTATAATTAGATACCTTATACCTTGTACATTTTAAACGTATAAAATACGATTTGTTAAAATTGTTTTCAAAAATGAATTTAATGTTTTATTAAAAATATTTGCAACAAAAATGTAAAAATATCTATAGGAATAGGTATCGGTTTTAATACAAGGACATAAGTTATAGGTACCTAGATAACCAAAGACCACGCCGTAACGTAGACTGAGCATAGGCGTGCCAGGTGTGTCGCGGTACACCCCGTGCCTTTGGGTCGACAGCAAAATTAACTCATTCTGAGTTTTATTTAATTAAATGTTATTAACCAATTTGGCATGACAAATTGTCACAGCGTAACCAATAAATCGAATCGGCCCGCAACCACTTACTCCGATATTACTTAACGCTGCCTTGGGTCCGGGGCCTGTTGTAATTGTTATGGATTTATTATTTTTTTTTTACAACGTTGTAATTTATTATTAGAGATACGTTGGGATGCATAATAACGTTTTCTCGTGAAATATTGTTCGATATATTACGGGCAATCTAATACTAGTATACCATGCAGGTGAACAATATGATTTTTGACTAATCGATATTTTATGTTCACCGCCGGAATTTTAAGGGCGAGCCCTAAACAAGGAATAGCAGCCCGTTTTCTCTAATGGCACACCTTGCGGAAAGACCCCGCGCGCGCCTATGACTACGAGTCTTATTCACTGCAATTGTCGCGTCTACAAAACTTAAAAATTACTCCTTATTAGGGGGGGGGGAGCGTTTAGGCAACAGTTCGAACGCGAACGATCCAGTAACTATGCATAAGCAGCGCGTGGACACGAACGAACGCACAGTGCAAACGGTACTTACGACCGAATGTCTATCAAAATGCGGCCCGATTTTGTTCGTACCGTAGGTAGTCTAAATGCACATTTAACCGTGGGTACCTGGTCTACCGCATTTAGATAACATTGTAAATTGATTGTTTCAAATAAAAGAAAAGCCAGGTGACACTGGGTGGGAAGGCCGCTTGTATGGGCGGTAAGTTGGGATGATCGTTTATAATAGATAAAGCAGGCAGGCAATTTAATTTACGTCTGTACGCAATGATTAATTATCGATAGCGAAAACTATTATGGGAAATTCATTTAAACACATTGTTTTGAATAAAATTCAATTCGCAATGATTACACGGATCCATGGTCCATTTTAAAAAATTCAGTACTCCTCATAATAATAATATTTAACTATAACTATATAGTTATAGTTCCTAATATAAGGGTTTTTTTTTCTTCCTCGTGATTTAACTTGTTCTATACATTTATTGACCATAATGTTTTTGTTTAACTATAAGTTAATATATAACTATCATGTATAAAAATAAAGTTTTTTTTTTAAGCTTTAAACATGAGATTTGTGATTTATCATGTACTGTCTATTTTAAAAACAATCTAAAAAGAATTAAAAGTTAAATTATGAAGTTAGATATTTTTAATCACTTTAAAATAACAAAAAAATTATTATCAAATAAAATTCGGCCTCAGTCATAAACACCAATAGCACTGTCAGGGAAATGTATGAACGATAATATGGCCGTAAGCAAAAATAAATATCAAATAATAAAAAATTTCACTTATACTAATTTTTGTAGCTTATGGCCCAAATATTTCCAACATTAAACATTTTTAGAGTCTACAAAAAATATACTAACACTGAAAGAGTAAGTTCCATTACTTTGAAACTAAAGTTTGCTCTATATATGCGTCATATTACATACAGAAAAACGAATCTGTCGCTAACATCAAATAGCTGTCTAGTCAATATTATATACAATTTTGTTAATTTTTTTTTTTTTTTTCAGATATTTTTCGCCTTTTTTATCATCTCTATGCTATCTACTGTCTACTCAAGAGCTCTGGAGAAACGCGAGTTACAAGAAGTAGAAGACAATGAGGCATTATACACTTCACATGGTAATTATGGCGGTGGTAGTGGAGGTGGTCATGGTCACGCCACGTCTTACCAGAGTTATGTGCTACATGCTTTCCATCCTTCTAAATTCCATGTTAAAGAACACTAAACTTCACAATAATATGGGAGTATTATTCTTGACCATAGCTATCTTCAATACATCTAAGATGAAGTATTCAAATAATATTAAGACCTCTGATATAACTTACTAATTTCTTTTGTAATTATTATAATTTAATTTTTGTTTTAAACATAAAAAAAAGGAAAGCGTGTTTAACCTATATTGATATTAAAAAATAATACAATATACAATATAAATTGTTTTTATATAATTGATTAGAACCTATATTAGATATTTTTATACAGTTTTTAATAAATATATAATGAAATGTTATAATTATATTCAAACGCGTTTTTATTTAAGAAAACAAATTATATCATAGTTGGATAAAATTGTTTGTTTACTGATAATTTTACAACAAATTATTTGTAGAATTCGTGTTCTGATTCATCTTTCTTGATATTGTTTTTATATCCTTTTTCAAAATCTTTGGGTAATACAATGTAGCGATTTTCACGTACTGCATGCATTCCAGCCTAAAAATATGATAAATATTATTTTATATTACATAAAGAAAAATACATCATAATAAACACTATCAGCATGGTTAAAGTATAATTTTGATGTTGGAACAATACAAACTAAATCTTAATTCTAATATAAAAATAAAAATAATTAAAAAAATACAAGGTAAATAGTTAATATTTGTTTCATTATTCAATGTTTTATTCTTTATGAACTTTATAAAAAGTTAAGTCAAATATTTTTAGCCACACATAATGATATGTATAACATGTGGAGGACTAAAAACTGAACAGTAAATACACACCGGAGCAATAAAATATAATATTTAGTAGTCAATATTTACCACAACATAACACATAATATTGACTATTTGTATTATATATTATGTATGATAATAATTGAAAAAAACAATCACATAAACATTTAAAAAAAAGACCACAATATTTATAACCAATATTGTAGACTACAGTAAATAAATAAATAATACTATGATTATCATCATGATTAAAATTAATTAAAATTAGTGAGTAGATTAAAAACAGAAAAAATGTCAATTGTATAAACAGCGTGTCAAAAATCTTCATATGACTATACTTTATATATTTTATAAATGAAGATACAGGATTAGGATGAGTTAAAACTTATTCTCGTAATAATCAAGTTTTAAATAGTATGTTTACAAATATTCAATAAGACCCCAACTGGCCATCCAACATTTATGTTAACTTTATGAAACTTTATGCTAATTATATCTTGTGTCACAGCATTTGTGATCCAGGTTTTGAATTTGTCCAGATCTGTATGTAATGGTGGTGTATAAACTTTAATTTTATGTAGCCCAATAAAAATTAAATCACACACTGTTTGGTTTGACGAACGTGGAAGCTAAGGTTGAATCATCAAATTATTGTTCATCATTATAGAAGCGCAAAACTTCCAAGATACATTTGACAGTAACAAAAATAAAAATAAACCTAATCAAAATAACTGAACCATTATATCTTTTCATTAGTATATGGGCCATTTATCTGTGATTAATGATAATTAACCTAATCTAACAAGTATCAAATGTGGTTGATATTTTTAATAGCATAAATAGGTTAATAATTTATGTTATTAGTAGATTTTTAGTAAAGAAAAAAAAAAAGGAGAAAAAACAATATTTTAATCAAACACAGTTTATCCAAGAGGATGGTCAACAAATTGATTTTATTATCAAAAAAATGATCTTGTGTGTGGAGTAAGTTATGTTGGTACAATCAGTCTGACAGCAAATATTATTTTGGTGTAAGGGGCTCTTTTAGAAGATGATTTTTAAATAGTAAACACTCAAATAGTAAAGTAATTAATAAACCTTGATATTTAAATATTTTGTTAAAAGGGATATTTGATGTTTATATTTGCTAGCTATACAGTAAACATTTTAAAATTGATTAATATATTGAATTATTAGAGATAAGATTATTTTAATATTAATAAACTTTCAATGTATTATTTGATAGTAAACATTTGTTTGAAATTACCTCTTGACAAATTGCATTAATATCAGCTCCAGAAATTCTATCTGGTCTGGCGACATAATCCTCCAAATCAACTTCTTCACTAAGATTCATTTTGGCTGTTATTGTGGTAAATACCAACCGTTTTTGTCTACGATCAGGTAATGGAAACTCAATTTTTCTATCTAAACGGCCAGGACGCAATAAAGCAGGATCCAAAGTATCTGCCCTGTTGGTAGCCATTATGACCTTGACATTAGTTGTTTGATCAAAACCATCCATCTGATTCAAAAGTTCTAGTAAAATACGCTGAACTTCACGGTCAGCACCAGTTTGTGCATCAAATCGTTTAGTAGCAATTGCATCAATTTCATCAATGAATATTATAGCAGGCGAATTTTCTTTAGCTAAACGAAACACATCACGCACCATACGGGGACCTTCTCCCAAGTATTTTTGGACAAATTCAGAACCGACTACACGAATAAAAGCAGCTGAAAAATAAAATAACATGTAAATAAATGTTTTGGCTTGTTAAATTGGAAATACAAATAGAAAATTAATAATAAATATATATTAAATATGCAATGGTATTTTAAACCTAACGTAAGTACTGGGTTAATTGACCAGTCAAAATAAAGTCAATTTTATTATTTATTTTTATTTGTTTCTTTAGAATATTAAATCATCAAATAATTTTTAATTGGATACCTATCTAGAAATGAAAAGTTAAAGTTAATGGATAATTGATCAACACAGTTTAATATTTTTTTTCGAATTTGTTTAATATTTTGATCTCTAGAAAGTTTTTTTGAAAAATAGTTAAATGCACAGATAAGATATATGTACTTATGTTATTCCCAGGGACGAATTGGTCCATTGAGAATTCAGAAGTTTTCTCAATAGACTGCCTCAATAGAAATTAATTAATTTGTGTTATTTTTTTTAAATTATTGTTTAATTTATTACTCAAGAATAAATTAAAAAAAAAAAATAAATAATAATAAGAAAATACAGTTACCTACAACACAGGCTGCATGAAAATTATTAGTATCCACCAGTGTTATAGATAACACAAATCCTATATGATTACATGGTGTAAATTTTATCTAAATGAGTATAGTAAGTAAATTTTAGCGATGTGACAAATGATACGATATTGATAAATTGTAATCATAACATGTTCCTCTATGAGAGGATTGACATAATTCAGTGACTAATAAGGACTGTACCAGATGTTTATTTGCGGGTCCAAACCTGCTACTGCTGTATGGAAGCTAGTGTCTTAAATGTCAACCTAAACTTAGGTCATTTGAATATAAAAATGTACTAACATTTATATTATACAAACACTTTAAATAATAAATTCTAAAGATATTTTTTCATCTCAAAAAATATGTTAATAATAATTTCAAATAGCAACGGTAGTGTATTAACCACATTAACTCAAATATCTCCAGTTGCTGAAGATTGAAAAGTGTTTTGATCCTTTTCAGTAAAATGTACATCTCCAGTTTTAATTTTATTAAATAATAAATGTATCTACTATAACAGATTAAAACACTTACAACTTTCTTTAACGGTACCTAAGACGCCTTTATAATAATATGAGTATCTTAAAACTAAATTAATTAGTGAGACAAGGTTAATATTAGTCGTCTCATCAAAAATTACATTGAATAATTTACTTTCTTTAACCCCGCTAAGAATTTTTTCAGTTACAGCAACATTCATTAATATTGTAAATGTATAATATGAGCAATAAAGGAAAATGCATATTGCTCCCTCAAATACACCCTTGTAGTTATCAGTGCCAGCTAATATAAAATATGTATTATATCCAGCTTGCCCATATACATTCATACATACATACATATGTATACATAAAACTGTTATAACTCATAAACGGTAAATTTAATGTTGACTGCTAATGTTATCCTAATCATCATTTCTAGAAAACTTAAACGACTCCATAATTGAAAAAAGAGAAATCAAATTCACTCAAATTCCTCTGAGAAAATGGCACATGATAAAATTATTTGCCTGTATATACTACTCATCTAAAAAAAAAAAAAAAAATGTATTTCAACAATTATAGAAAATTACGGAAACAAATGTATTTTGTCCTACTTCCAGTTTTAAATCATTTACCTATTTTTAATTTGCATTTTATTTTTATTTTGATATTGATCTTTATTGCACTAGGTCATAATTGTATATATTACCAGTGGTGTGATGAGCTACAGCTTTAGCCAACATAGTTTTACCACATCCTGGTGGCCCATACATTAAAACACCTCGAGGTGGATCGATACCAATTTGTTTGTATAGCTCAAAGTGTGTTAATGGTAATTCGACAGCTTCTCGAATCTCTTGTTTTTGCATATCCATACCTCCAATGTCAGAATACTGGATATCAGGCTTTTCATCTACGATTAAATAAAAATGTTTTTATTATTAAACTATTTTCCACTAATATTTTAATAACTTACCAGCTTGAAGCATAGATATAGAAGAATCTGCTTCAGGCGGTAACACATCAACCAGGGCGTTACTATGTTTATGCAATGCAACACTAGCGGATGGTTTGAGTAATTCACGATCTATAGTAGACAATATACGCACATAGTAGTTTGATCCTGTAGTACTTCCGACAATACCAGTATTTTGGTCAACTGCTTCTAAAAATTGACCAATCACAAGTGGTACACTCTGAATACGTTTCACTTCCTCTTGGGCGTGTAAGTATTCTTTTTTTAAATTACGTTGTTCGTCTTTAATGTATTCTTCTTGTACGGTCAAAAATTCCAAATACCGTTGTAAGCGCTAGATATATATGTATAATACAAGTATACAAATAAAATAAATAAATTACGAGCAATTATTAACATTTAAATTTTTAAATTTACTTTGTATCTTGAATAGTGGTCCAAACTGTCTAAACAAGCTTCGACATTATTCAAATTAGGTAGAGTTGGTTTAGCATCTTGACTATCATCCTAAAAAAATATAATTTTAATATTTTTGCATAAGAATTTTGTTGAAAAATATAATAAATAATAATAGAATTTGTACGATTCAAACATATGTATCTATGTGGTTTGTCATTTTTTTTTTAGCACAATAGAGTTTAGGTACTATCATAACCGACCTTGCATGTTTTTATTAAAATTTAAAATTTGACTATTGGCTAGATCAATAGGATATTATAGTGTCATACAAGGTAAGTATGCGTATGAATTAATAAGGATGCGTATGTGTAAGCGAATAAAATAAAATATTATGTTGATTTGTTGTTTTGTAGTGAAATGGGTCAGATTTTAAAAAATATGTAATATTATAATTTTCACTGAATCGCTTCTGGTGACAGAATTCTAAATTATGTGATCTAAAATTGAGAACTACGCCTTATAATTTATTATGAAAAAGAACAAAATAATAAGGAATTAATATGAATAATGTAACAAAATTAAATACTCACCCTTTCTGGTAAGACGATACCGATTTCTTCCATGGCGTCGGATATTTTACGGTATAAAAACGACGTAACTTTGTGTGTAACCGTGTAAGAGTTGTTGAGTTTAAAAAAAAAATAATAATAAAATATCAATTGTTAAATTTCGTAGTTTCCTGTTGTAGAACGGAATGATTGTTCAATATTTTGGTTTTGGCTTTTATTGTTGTTATCATAAATGATTAAACACAATTTCAGTGATAATTAAAACATAACCTCAAAAAACACGAACAATAACGATACGCGTCACCCGGCTGAAGATAGCTACGGTTTCGAACGCGTCGCGGTTAAAAGCAGTTCAAATTATTGTTATCTACTATAGTTACCGGACCGACGAGACGAGGCAAATTCAAATGTCTCTGCAAATGCGTTCAAAACGGTCCGCGATTGTCACTCGCTCCGTAAATACAATGTCGACGTGCCCAACCGTTTCCGTCGATGCGTTACGATCAAAATAATATTCGTCTACGGTGTGGTCGTCACTCGTGATCCGGTGCCAGTTAATATTCCAGCGTCCGACTTTGTTTTCACCAAGTAAGCGTTTGTTGATTTACACCGTTATTGAAACGCAAAGCGCGCATTTCGTTGGCGTTTGAACGTAGACACCTGCGATTAAAATAAATAAAAAAAAAAGAAAAAAAAAAAAGAGTGCGTTTAGAAATTCATCGCAATTATAATATATTTATTTTTTATACAATTTATGCGTTTTTATATTAATTATTTATTCGCGTTATTATGGGTCAGTTTTTCATTAGTTATTGTTCAAAACTAAGGCTGCACATTCGTGTGAAAGCGTATTTTTTTTTTTTCGGCCGATTGTAAAACGTAGCTTTTTCAAAACAAAGTTTGGTAGCACAACGAATCCAATCGTGCATTATTTTTTTTATTTTTTTAAAATTTTTGAAAATATTTAAGTTTGATGGAAAATTTTAGTTTGTTTTACGGTGTTTGTATCGGTTTTTACACAAATCAAATTTTTTTTTTTGATTTACGCATGCTGTATAATGTATACTTACGTTTTACTTATATTTTGTATCCTTGTTTTGTAATATTTTTTACAAGCTCTATACGAGTAAGTGTATAAATACGACTGATTGGCCACTTTGATTCGATATAAGATTGCGTTAATCGCGGTCATTAATTAAGAAATGTCTATATTGCAACATTTTTAGGTACCTTTTTTATAAACATATATTTATATGTTTCAAGTTTTTACCATACATTTGGCTATTCGGAATTTCAATTGTATTCTATACGGGATATTTATGGTACTTTAAATGCATTTTTTAAGGTTTTATAGCGCGTTCAATTTATAATTGTGAATTGTCTTATTTGTGAATTCTGCTTCTTCAGTTCTTTCCCGTGCAAATCTTCTTATTTTTGCTGACGATATGAAAACCTTCCTTAAAATAAAATTCCATCCACGTTTGTCACAAGCTCCAATATGATCTTGATAGATTGGTTGTTGTCCGGGGCGAATATCTTGGTATCTCTCTTTATATTCCTAAATGTTCCTCCATAACCTTTACTCGCCCCCGATCACCTATCAATTTCTCATAAAACATCCACAACATTCCTGTTATGTCCTCATGGGACTCGATTCGCGTCTTGGGATTCACACTTACCCGTAACCTCTTCCCTCACAAACACATAGAAGAGATATGTTGTAAGGCATATAAAACTCTCGGGTTCATCCTTCGATCCTTTCAACAATACCATTTTACCCTGCCCCTGAAAACCGTCTACCGTGCTCTGGAACGGCCTATCGTTAAGTACAGTAGTGTATTGTGGGATGCAGCTCTCGCATCGTTCAGCGCTATTGATCGAGCGTGTTCAGCGAAGGTTTCTCCGTGCTGTTGCGTACCGACTCAAAATTCCTTGTCCTACTCATGATTAATCTACTTGCGCACACCGGGCCTTCTAAGTCTCGCGGACCGTAGGCAGGCTCTTTCCTATCTAATCTCCATAGCGGAAAGATTGATTCTCCTACTCTCCTATCTCTCATCAACTTTGAAGTCCCGTCTTGATCCACTCGCTCCCATGCCCCATTCCATTCTCATCTACACGTTTTCTCGAAAATTCCCCCGTCAAGCGTTTTAATGCGGACTGCAAATAACGACCTCTCCTTTGTTTGATCTTCAATTATAAATAATTATGACATATACACATACATATTCTATATTTGTTCTTAATTAATTTTTCCTTTATGTATTATTTTTTCGTTATCACCTTATCTTATTTTATTGTTATATTTCCTATTAACTTTTATGTTTTCATTATATTTTCTTTTTTCTTTTGTTTGTTCAACCTGTCACCTAATTTAAGTTAAATTAATATTTATCATTTGTATTTGGAACTAAGTCTGTAATATATAATAAATAAATAAATAGTTTAAAAGTTACATAAATGTAATAACTTTAGATTCCGAATGTAACGAAGAAGATTAATATATTAGGTAGTTTTACAAAGACGCGTTCTTTTCCACGATTTATTCATGTCATTTTTTGACCGTTGGTTCTTTATATTCGAATCGTTTTTTTTTTGAAGTATTTAATACTATTTTATTTAATTGATTTTTATATCATTTATTAGAAAACAGTTATGGCTAGGAAAACATCAGGCCCTTTCTTTTGTTATTTAATTTTTTTTAATTTCCGGGTTACTTTAGTAATAAGAGGAAAATCATGACTAATACTACTCCGCTCAGAATTATTTTTTCGTTTGCAATGATTTATTCTTGTATGTATAGGTATACAATATATTATAAGCTACATTTTCCTGTATTCTACCCGTAAACAGTAGCAATTTTCGTTTTATTTTTATCAAATGATAAATAAACGTGTTTATTTGTTGAACCGTTGATTGTAAATTAAAACAACCAAAACTTAAAACTTCCAATTGCGTACTAATGTGACGTAAAATAGACTCGATGCTTATAATAATTGATATTATAACCGATTAATTCAAAAATATTGTTTCTCATGATAATATATATATACACGCTTAATATCATAAACTATAATACATATATGTATGTTTGATTGTTATTATTTAATTTGTTTTGATATTTAATTTTACTATTTGAATACAATTTTTTTTTTTGTTTTTTTTTTTTGGGATATTATGAGAAACCCTAAAGGAAATTCTGATTACGCTTATGTGTGTGTGCAGGTAAGTATATATACTGGGTGATCAATTCATCGCCAGACAATCGTTATTTCAGAAAGTATTAACTTTTTTTGGAATTTGTTTTATAAAACCTTTTATGAAACAAGCAGCTTTACAATATTACATTTATGTTATTTTTTGTCACCCTTATTATTTTTGGGAGTAAAACCACTACCTATTTTCGATCTTCAAATGGCAACCTGTATGTTAAAAATTTCATAAATAGATGGTGTATTAGTTAAAATATATTTTGGTGTGACATTATTAATTTCCGTCAATCCATTGACGAAATATTCCATTTTTAGATTTGGGTCGGCGGAGAGTAATAGTGCATTATTAAAACTCCACGTGCTGTGCCGCCACATAAATGTGTTAAATTAACATAAGCTCAATATAATATTAATATTCGAAAAAAATATATGTATAATATGTATGAATGCCTGAACGGCTTAAGTCATAATATTAAACGATTTATGTATTTTATCTCAAACAAAAAGTAGGTTTATTATAATATAGTAATTTGAGGTATTTTAATTTTCTGTATACCATGTGTTAGAATATAAGTACACACACTTATGTCATTTAGACAAAAAAAAATTTCAAAAATTGACTTAGGCCTTCTTCCCCGGTGTCACAGTATTTTAACACCCCCTATATTATTACTTCAGTAATTACAAATCGGCTGTAGGAAAACTCGCCGACATGTAACTGGCGATTTATAACCACCGTAATTATTACCTCGGTGGGTATAAATCGCCGTCAAAAGTAGGCAATAATATAAAATAATATAATCAAAGATTATTTATTTATCATCGGGGCACAAAAATCATATTTTATTTTAAAATACCTGTGCAACTATTAATTAAGTATGCGACTGATGCCTATACGAATTAGAAATCCGAAATACGTCGTTTAATTTTTTGAAGTTCATTTTTGGACAATTGAATGAGCGCGATCGTCTGTGAACGCGGCACAGTTTTTCCTGTATAATATTATACACTTTTATGCATTTGTGTAAGCTCGTATTTATGACAAATTGTTAGATAACGGTTCGGTTAATTGATTTATTTCAAAAAGTAATGTAAAGCTATATTTGACTTTGTTCTTATATTATTCTGTAGGTATGTACAGAAAGGAAGGGAAATATTGTTTAAAATTGTGTTAACACGCGTATTTAAAAAATAATAGTGAAACATCGGCTTTAAACCAATGAATACAATTATTTGTATTCAATGAATATGAATTGTTATTTAATACGAATCATTACGTTATATTGGCGATTCATACCCGCCGAGGTAATAATACAAGTGGGGTACGAATTGCCTGTTACACCGGGACCAAAGATTTACTCGGTAACTTCAAAATATATTAAATAAATAATATTATTGCATTAATTGTATTATATTACACTGATATTAGCCGAGCAAACTTATATACTGGAATAATAGGCCGTTTTAAGAGAGCATTTGCTCCGGGGCGCCAAAGCTTTTTAAAATTATCAGGTGCCTAGCTCGGTATACAATTGGAAATAAAATTAATAATATCGCTTGTTAATTGTTTTATTTTCAAACGCTTTGCTTAGAGTAGTGATGAATCAGAAGAGCGTAAGTACAACCTTATAGTAATCAGTAACACAGAACAGTATGTTTATCTAGAAAAAATCAGAAGTAAGGAAGAAACATAATATTTGATAGAGGCGAAATGTCGACATTGCAATATGAATTTAATACAATTGTAAAAGAACAACAAATTCCGGGGGATAATAATAGCAACGACAATATTCGGAACACTCATCTATATTGTGTTCCACCGCTTCTATAATATTATTATTCGTAACATAGTAATTGTATGGATATTGTATGAATACGGTAATGAAATATTGGTGGTAAGTATGTCGAAATATCGCGGTGATAATGATGCCGCCGAAAACGTATACGGCAGCTGATGCAAAATTATTATCGCATAGGCATCATGCCATATTTATAACGCATTGAACGGCGGTTAAACGACACGTTGTTGTACATAATTACACCTATCTATACCGTGTATGCCAATAATCAATGATAATATTTTATATGGGAATCAGTATCTCAACGATAGGAATAATAACGGCGGCATGTGAAACATTAAAAAAAAAAAAAAAAACTCAATTAGGGCGTACCCAAAGGAGTGGGTACCAACAGCACTTTTTTTTAAAGGTGTAAAATCTAACGTAATATTCTATCGTTTACCCAATGTAAAATATTTTCACGTGCTTTGAGAGAAATTTTCTAATTTTTTTTGGAGAATTAGTTTTTAAAAAAAATGCGTTTTTTTCTATCATATTCAACTGTATTTAAATACTAATAATATAATATTATGATAACACATTCTGCATCTCCGGTACTTTTTCAAATTACATCTTACTCCACCTCGTGTGTAATCATAACCAGTCACAACGTCAAATACTGTCCTTGGGTAACTGGGGAGGGGGGAAGGGAAGTTGATGTGGATATCAAATCTCCCTATCTCCCTTGGCCTTTATTATTTTTGTTAAATACCTGTATCGACTATTACGCATGAACACATGTTCTCTACCTTAAAGAGGATAAACTATACTTGCGGAATACGATGTCGGAGGTATATTTATAATGTTTTATTGAAAACTAAGACACTATACAAACCTTACGGCTTACATACCTAGTAACTAAATATTGTTTTCGTTAAATATGATTTAATGGATCGGCTATATTGGCAATCTATAAAAATGTACCGATAGATTAGGAATACGTATAGGTACTGAAGCTAAGAAGAGTAAATGTTGCTCACAGCAGCTACGCATACCGACTCGTGACCCCATTACTTATACGTTACTACTAAGTATTTATAATAAAATATACATTCCTCAAAAAAAAAAAAAATGAACTGATATGTTATTATACGTTCTATAATTTATTTGTAAATAATATTAATAATTATATCTACCGATTATCTTTTAATTGTCTTGTTAAAATTTCAGATAATATTATAGGTACTTGTGATGGTATTTCTCGTTGTCTAACCCTGTCTCTTCCCTACCTAACCCGAATTACGGCTCTGGTATAGGTAACTTAAAAATACTGTTTCGTCCTTTGATCATTTAATTTATTTTATGTTATAAACGTTATGATAACAAACACGGTCAATTGCTTATATTGTGTTTCTGATTTGTAGAATATTGTCTATTGCTCGATTGGGGCGTTAATAAATACATAAAAATAAATAAACAAATAAATACATAAATAGGGAGTTTTAATTTTGTGTTCCGCTTGAACTCGTTTTCCGAGTAAACGAATTATCGACGTCAAAACACAAATTAATAACATAAAACGAGTCTTGTGCCCAACATTCGCTGTGTATGTTCTTATAATTATCAAAAAATATTATATTTAACATGAGAGACACATACACTAAATGACGAAATCAAAAAATTCAATGTTTGGTCTATAATTAATGTTTAATAATAATTCGGATATTAATATACATATATATGTATATAAATTATGCAAAATTTGTTGAATTGGTTGAATAGTTGGCTGCTTTTAAAGCGATTTCTTTGTTATCAATTATTTTCTTATTGTAATATCGAACAGTACAGTCTTTATCTTGTACGTGCATAATTAAAAATTCGTTTAAATCGTAATCATTTTTCGAGTACCGATTTCGCGTGCAATTCAGGTATTTCTAGATAATCCTACATAATATGTATTTATGTATCATATATTTTATAAAATTCTTTAGTTTGAATTTTTTTAAAACCGTAAAATCGATTGGGAGATACGGGTTTTTTTTTTTTGTTTTTTGTTAGTTTAGCAAATATTACAACGCACGTTAACAATCATTGTCCAATAGTAATTTATGTGCACATAATATCCGAATATTGTCACGTATTACTCGCATGGCGATAAAAATGGCGATTTAACGGGTACACCGCAAAACTTTCGCAAACGATATACATGTGATAATATAAAACTAGTGTTACATTTTCATTGGACGTCAGTAGTTAAATATTAATCAACGGATAATGAATTAGGTAGCGGCGTGTAAGAAACATACTCTTGTATGTGGGAAATATTAATTATATGTCACATATAGGTACCTACGCCATTCGTCGGTCTTTTTTATTTCAAGTATAATATAGTGAAAATGTTAAAATGCTTGAAGTAAATATTGTTTTTTAAAATTAAAACGACGGAAATTGTTTTTAATAATGTTTTCTATTTCAGAATTTAAAAATGGAACCATGGAAGAAGGTGTGCATTTACGTATCCGTTTATGCCATACTCCGAGAGTGTCGTCCTATAGATCCTTTTTATATCGAATACGTAACTTCACTTTCGGAAAAATACACGGATCAAGTAGTAAGTCGTAAACGTAAATTATTATTTAAATTTTAGATGTTAAACAGAATGCAGTCGTTACTCACACGGCCGTTATAGTAAATAATGCAGAACCATTATTTAGTGCTGAATACTATATTACAAGTATACATACTTAAAATGATACTACAGTGTATACTATTAACAATATTATATTTCTTGAATATATACGTTTTTATTTGAAATTGAAATTGTTTATAAAGATATAAACGTTTTTGTCGGTATATGCGTAATCATTTTTTTAAAACTTTTTTCGAGGTTGTACAAATTATCACGAATTTCATCCTGTATATATTTAGATAGCTGATTTATTGAATATTTATAGTATAGGTATTTTAGAGAAGGGTTTTTTTTTTGCGAATTCTCCGGTTCGTTCTAAGCTCTGTTCGAAATTTTTTTGAATAAAATAATTTCATTATTTTAATTATTTTAATTTCATAATTATCTCACATTGTTTTCAATTAAAAAATAATAATTCAAAACTGCAGGCTATTCGTTGTTTCCTCGAAACAGTGATCAGTCGAAAAGGTGCGAAGTTTGTATCGCATAGTTACCATATAATATTTACTTTGAAGTTATTTCTACATGAGGTTTTAATATCCATAACCACTTTGAGTATGTATACTTCACGTTAAACATTAACCATTTCGTCGGTTATTCATAATAGAGTGTATTCGGTTTCACCTCGCGTAATTTATTTATTTACGTCCGTACGTTCTAAAACATCAAACCTTAAAATTATCCGTATAGGCATCACGATATGTTCATCGCAAGGTTTACTTTTCTTATGAATAAATTAAAATTTATTAGCCACGGTACCTATACGTATTCATATTTGAGCGTGCTATTACGGATACCTTTTTATAATCGACAGCATTTTCGAAGTAAACAAAACTATGATTGTCAACAAATAATAACAATAGTGGTGCAAAACCTCAGTTTAAATATGACATTTTCGAAATGCGTAAGCGCTAATAAGTAATAACCTATATATGCTTATACGACAACAATAAAAAGCGCTTCCGGCGGGTTGATAATATTTGTATACGGGGAAGGTAAGGTTACGTAAGTATATGGGTTGGAGATGTTGATTTTACCGGTTTTATCCGGATTAGATTTTTTTTTTTTCTAAATCCGCAATCCGTATAAAAAAAAAATATTTGTTTACCTAACTTAACCTAATAATAGCGCTAACAATTTGTTTAAATGTTTATTTCCACACACCACCACACATCAAACAAATATTATTTAAGGCGTTCTATATACTTACGTTTATATTATAGGAATAAAAACCTATAGTATAATTTAATAATATTTTTTGGGCAAAAAATATTGAAATTTTTTTTAGTTTTTAATGTTAATTTCTTATAATTTTACGTGATTTGGTTTTAACTACATTATATTATACTGGCGTGTTATTGTGATATAAATTGTAAATTATTATAAACGACTTTAAAAAAATATTATCATATGCATATTTAGATTAGAGAAGAAATATATCCTGTCTGTAGTTATATTAGCGTGTTCCTCGTAATTATAATATTTCTTGTTACTGATTTTCTACGTTATAAGCCAATCATAGTATTAAATGGATTGGCTGGTATTGTTTATTATGGACTACTATTAACATCACCAACTATCGCTACTTTGAAAGTAAGTACTCAATACTTTTAGATTTTAAGAACTGTATCAATATAAAATTCTTTATTTTATTATTTCTTTGTTATATGCACTACACAGTGTGTTATACATTTACGTGTTTATACTTAAATAAAGCCAAATATTTATATTATAGACAAGTCAAGTATTTCAAGCGCTTTTCAGAGCAGCTGAAATTGCTTTTTATACATACATGTTTGCTAATATTAAACAAAAAGACCAATATCAAATTGCTACTAGTAGATTAAGGACTTCAATTATGATTGGAAAATGTTGCTGTGGTATTCTAGCACAAGTTCTTATATCATGGAATTTTGTAAGCTACATACATTTACTCTACTTAAGTTTATTGGGTAAGTATAATGCAAGTATATTTGTATATTTTTGTTGAGAGGACATCTACTTTTACTTTTGCTGATTATACAACCGGTAAATATAGCGAATTACATCATGCCCGGAATTTTTTTTCAGGGAAGAGGTGCACTGAGAAATTTTAAATAAATAATAAGGTTAACTATAATTATTTGTATTCATAATTGTGTTACTAAATATAATTTTTGGGAGAGGAGGCTAAAAAAGAAATTATAGAGTTTAGTTAAAATGTAAAGTTTTAATATTTTTCTGGCTTTGTTTGAAGAGGACAATATCTTGTAGCGGTTGTAGCGCTCAATTCGTTTGTAGATATTATCTAAAAAATTACATCTCGAATCCGCCATTTAGATAAAAAATATTATTAGACATTTCTCTTAATGGTTTTTTTTTTTTTTTTAAATATTGGGTTAAGTTTTCTGGTTTAAATTGTATTAACAGTAAAAAAAAAAAAAACAATCAATGCATTCCTTGCTTCGACCAGAATCTAAAATCGCGTTGTTTATAAACTATTATATTAGAGAAACGTGTATCATACGCTATAAATTTATAACCTCTTACTACAAATAATAGTGGAAAAAAAATATCGGGTAATTTATTGAAATGTATAAGTATATTACGTGTGTAATTCAAAATTTTCGTTAATTTTAAACACATATTTGAATAATTTGTTTTAGGTATGTTTTTAACTACAGTTTGGTCATTATTAATGCCATCAGCTAAATTTAGTATATATTTTTACAAAGAAAAAGAGCCGATCATCAACTACATATTAGTTGATAATAATCAAATAGTTGAAACAAAAATTTTATATTTAATTAACGGAAATTTAGATAAAACCAGCAAACAAGTATGTAAAGTCAAATATATTCTAAAGACTAATAATAGTGTATGTTTTAAATCTTAATAATTTATCCAAGCAGAAAGTCTTTGTAAGAATGAATTTGTTTGAAGTCATACAAAAGCTATGGGTGGATTTTAAAGTAGCTTACTCAGATCCTTCGGTAATTAAATGGTCAATGTGGTGGTCATTATCACTTTGTGGTTATGTATTGGTGAATATTTTACGTTTTTAATTAAAAGCAAATATACGTTTCTTGACACAATAGATTTTTTTTTTTTTAATTTTTGAATAACAGGTACTATATATTTATTTTATAAACCGTTTCCGCAATTATTTTAGGCTGCACAATACATTCAGCTTCTTTGGAAGGAAATTAATAAAAACGAAAACAACCATCTAATGAACGGAGCAGTCGAGTCACTGGCTACATTATTAAGTAAGTCCAAGAAACTTAATTTATATACATATTTATTTTTGTATATTTAATAATTTGTAATGGTTTTAACACGGTCGTATTGTAAGTGAAAAAATCATTATTCGAATTTGTTTTTACATTTTATTTCTATTCACTCAATTTTTTGACATAAATTTAAATTAGTGATAAATTTGAGTTTAATCGATGAACATTAAAATTTTTTGTAAAACGACTAAAAAAAAAAAAAAAAAACCGGTGACACATTTTCATATTTTATATCAGTGTTAGTAACTGAGTATCATTATTTACCGTATTGAATTAAATATATAATTATAGAATTAATAAACATGTTCAATATAATACAGATACCTACACATTATATTGCATGTAGTTCTAAATCACAGTTATTGATTTTAAGCAAGAATGTTTTTATTTGTACAGAATACGAATATGTAAGGTACTTACTACCTTTACTGGTTAACAAATTGCAAAATTTTATTGGCCGGTCCTAAATAGCAGAGAAAATAGGTGAGGGAGAAGAAGAAGGAGTGATATTTTCTGTATCAGTGATACGTAACATATTTATAACACGTTACTTAGTTAAAATATTAGTTAAAATGTAATAATGCATTAATACTTATAGTAAACAATTTCGAAGTAAAGTAAATTTGAATATCAATATTATGATTTAATTATTAGTGTTTAATTAATAATATGTTACGGTATAGTTCAAAATTATAAGAACGAACAAAGAAAACAATGCCTATAAACATGAAATCTTTGATTAAAAATAATAACAATAATAATAAAAAGCAAGTAAATTATGCGTCTACAGAGCTACTGAGTAAATATTATGTAAAAAACGAAAACCGGGGCCTCAATTTTTGGATGTTTTTCGTATATGGATCGTGGATAAATTAATTAATATAACGATCATATATGGAGAATTTTCCAGAATAGGTTTCATATACTCAGACATTGAATAATTACAAAAACCGTAGATATAAAATAAATTTAGGTAAGGAATTTTAATATTTTTGACAATTTCATTTTTAAATTTATAATTTTAAAGATTTAAACCCATAACACAACCACTATATTATGTAATTTATATTTTATATATTTAAATATGTGTGCATTTTTTAAATTTAGGTAATAATTTTATGTATACATTATTTTATAAATGTTTTTTTATTTTTTTTAAATATTTTAATTAAAAATTAATGTTAATAATAGTTAAAGTAGTAGATTAAGTAGCACAAATGTATCTATATTTATATTAAAACGCAATTTTTCTATTCGATACATTTTTATTGTGAATTGTTTATTTAAAAAAACAATAGATATAAAAATAAAATTGTTGTTAGAAAAAATAATTATTACCTAAGAAGTAAATGTGTATAGGGTAGCTGAATAAATATTATACGGAAAATAGAAATCGGGGCCTCAATTTTTGAATTTCTTTTTGTATATGAATCGTGAATAAGATAATGATCGTATACAGAAAATTTTCCAGAATAGGGTCCACGCTATGGCATCAAATTGTTATAAATTAGAATTTAAAAGGGCTTTTAATGTTTTTCAAATCGTTTTATTTACAAATTGTTATAAGATGGGTTTAAAACTTAACCACTTGTTTTTTTAGATGTATTGTATAACAGTGTTTTAACAGATATTTATTTTTAAAAATTAACTAGTTTTAAGGAAAGTTTAAAGTTTAAATTAAGTAATAATACAATAGTATTAAGTTTCAATGGTGTTAAAAAGTAAAATAATATTGTTTAGTTTAATAAGTTCATTGTTTCAAATGCTAAATTTGTAATGTGAACAATCTTTTTAAAATATAATAGAAAGATATAATTATTATACATATATATATGTTCATTAAATACATACGAGTAAATAGTATTTCGATATTTAATATTATATTTACCCTTTTTCGTTCGTTATGTGAAATATGCGAAATCTAAAATGTGCACTGAGCCAGTATGAGAAGAATAAAATGTTGTAGTTTTCACTGTAATAAATCTATGGGCAGGTTGTATGCTATTTGTTGTTTACAGTTTGATCTATGGATAAAGTTTCGGGTAGAATTTATTTGTATGCACGGTACTAAAGGTTGCCTAAAAAATAGGTATTGAGGGTGAAATCGATGAAATTTCACCGACTTTAGTTACTGGATTAACTTCCATGTTACATTTTATAATTTATCAAAACTATACTATCTTGATGAATTTTTAAATATTTTTAGGCGCTGCGGTTACATATGCTATTGGCATGGTAAACGGGGACTGGGACAAGTATGGAGAAATTATAATGGCGATAGTAGCTGTAGAACTAGGAGTTATGTTATCATTTGTTGGTATCGCTGAATCTTTGACACAGTCGTATATTTACTATATAATATTTTGTTGTACATACCAAACAATGTTGACAATATCAAGGTAAAATTAAAAACTGTTATTAATTACAATTAATACGTAGGTACGTTTGATAAAATTGTTTTGTGGTTATTACCGTTTTCACGTATAGGTAATGATATATTATGTAATAAGGAAATTCGAAAAATACGGTCTTTAGCGTGGATAACAATTTTATATAATAGTGTTAAATTTTATCAGATAAGTAATAATAATATTGATTTAGTTACGTAATAGGTAGCCGAATGTGGAATAAGTATCTAATATTGAATATTATGTCTTTTCACTATAGTTACGTTTCGTTACATAGCGGTCCGCATTGAAATTTTTTTTTTAAAGAATCATATTAACGAAAATTTGTTACTGTTATTATCATCCGGCATAAACAATATTTGTCGAATTTCATTATACCACGGAACCATTATTTTTTTATTTTTTTTTTATGATTTCTTAGAAAACACTGAAAATTGTAACATCGTGAGCTTCGATTGAATTAAATTTGTATGCCTATAGATGTATACCGATACTATTATGTATTATGATTGTTGATTATAGAACTTACCTGTACACGTAGTTGGAATCACCGATAATTTAGTGTTGACTTTGATTGGACGTTCTCACCATGATAAACAATCCCACATACAGTTATTGGTATTCGTCTAGTGTCATAGTTTCAAAACCGGGATACCATTTTAGCACAATTTATTTTTGTGTCAGCCTTAAATTAGTAACACCGTTTAAAAACCGCTGGACAATTTAACAACTGTAATACCATATGGTCCTCGTTCGTCTATAATACTCGGGAACGGTACAAATACTAAATCCCGATAAAAAAAAAAAAACAATTCCACTCGAAATGGAATTGTTAAATGTACATTTTTTTTTTTAGTTACCTATTGTGTTGTAATAGTTGTAATTTATATTCGTACATAGCTGGTAAATCTCTGGGAATGTCTAGACATTTATTGACGTTTCGGATTTACGTATACCAACATACCAGTTTTCGATGTTGGTATTATGCGTATAATTTAGTTTTGTTTGAAAAAAAAAAAATAAATCAAAAAAAACATTTCCAACCTATTCAAAACTATTATAAGCAATAATAATTAAACGCCCTTTGCGGAATAAAACCAAATAACACGCATAATATTTATTGAGTTTTAGTATCTATTAATAATAGTTAAGTAAGGGAAGAAACTTGTTCGATATTATGTTCTTTTCCTCGGTATCTATCAGTTTACCGGAAGTTTGATATAATATTCTCGGTATGACCGTAAGTTAGGTATTTACCAAGTTATTGTTTGCTAATACTTTGAGTCTTTCGGGTGATGATTACTTAAATTAAATAAATACTAAATAAAACAATATAACGGCCAATAGGTGAAAATAATCGTTAAACGTACGAAAGCTACAAATAATTTTACAGTCAATTCAAATCATGATAATATTATCATTATAACATACTTTTTCTATTTTAGTGCAGAATTGGCAAAATGCTTGAAACGAGATTGTTACGCATTAGTGTTCGGATTTAATAAATTCATTGCCTTCATCATGATTAGTATATTCACTGTGGTTTTCGTTGAAAATATATTCTTCTCTTTCGACATCCGACAACAGGTAAAAACAAGTTTAAAATTTGTTTACTGATAAGCTCTATAAGATTGATTGATTCAACAGTTTTGTTTTTCTGATTAAGATTATAAATTATCGTGCGGTACCTATATACACGAATATATAATTGTTGTTATAGTTAATATTTATACCGAAAAAGTCACACTATAGGCAGTGGCATATTTGAGGGGGGACGATGGACGGATTGCCCTCTCCTTGGAATTTTTTGGCTGTGATTTTTCAATCACGTTTACAGGCTATAGGCAATAGAATAATATAGTATTTAAAACCGTGTTATTTATTATGTCTCTGGTATTTTTATCAGGGTTACTAAAAAATAGTATTATCACTGTATAACTAGGGAAATTTGTTGTTTATAATACATAATATAGGGATGTTCAAACAGTATAGTGATCACAGATTGGTTTGTAGGAGAAAAGAAGATTAATGTCGATTAAAAATTGTTGTAAATATTTGTGTGTACAATTGTTTGACATGAATACATATAATGTAACAACTAATTATGTATATTATGTTACTGCCGTTACGGGTAAACACCGAAATCGTGCAAATCTCAGAAATGCCCGGCAAAACGCGGAATGTCCACGATACTTGGAAAAAAACGTCATATTTCGCCTTTTTTTCCGGACAAATCTATGTATTAGTGACCGACATCATTTGGGCAAAACTGTAACGTCCGAAAAATTTCAATTTTTCACATTTCTGAGATTTGCCCGATTTTGGCTTTTGATTGTAACATATATATTATATATACCTACGCAATTTTTTTTTTTCTGTATACTATTAATTATAGTTTATACCTACAAACTAAATTTTTTAATTGCCAAGGAGAGGAATTATAAAAAAAAAAAAAAAAAAAGAATGATAACTGTTGCTTTTTTTTTGGGACGAGGAAACTCCTCGCGATATTTTGTAGTTTATTACAATTTTTAAACCGCCCCCTCTTCGATTGAGCTCCAGATACGCGACCGACTGTAGGCAATTTATATTATTTATAATGAACATAAAAAAAAAATAAAAAGTGTCTGGTTTTGTCGACGGTTATAGACAAGTAATATTTATGCGCAGCAATATTATATAAACTAAGTACAACAGGCGAATAATGCAAAATAAATTTACAGTATTTAATTTACGGCATGTATTTCATTTTCTTGGGATGTTTGTGCATAATAACGTGGGTTTTCATGTTATTGAGGCAATTACATAAAAAATCGTTTTATTAAATGAAAACGTAGACACTGTCGTGATAAGTTTTCTTACGTACGGCTGTCGTATCAAAAAAATGCAGTGAGTCAAATAGCCATATTCTTCCATCTGCGCGTGTAAACTATCTAACGATGTATTGTGTTTTTTACAGGTACATATTATATTATCGTTGAAAACAACGATACCCGTCGATAAGTAAGATACAACCGTTTGTTTACAACGTAACACTCGCCGAACGAACGGACAGATTATTATATTGATCAATTTTATCGGCCACGGTTTAGGGTAACAAAAATGAAGAATGGACCAATGCGCACGCACTTAAACTCGCTCTATTAATTCGACACGGATCTAACTAAATTTGATGATTTTTATATCTATATTTATTCGAAATGAAATGTTTAAGATTACAGTAGCAACACAATAATAATAACAATATCGGTTTCGTAACGGCGATTTTTTCCCGCTGAAAATACTTTTTTGGGTAAACTAATACCGTCATTAACAGTTTAATAACGAAAATATTTTATATTTTTATATTCTATGATTTTTTTCTTTTTTTTTTTTTAAAATATTTTATCATTGTAATAATATTGTTTAAAAGTTTTTCTCTCGTTAAAATGTAATATATTACCTATGAATATTTTATAATTTTTGTCGAATTTTGTCTGATTAACTAATTGGTAATTATACCATCAGACGTAGATTTAAAAACTTTTATACTCATTTGAAAAATATTAATTAGAAAAATGTGTTTTTAATATCGTCGCTGTCCGAGAAATCGATATGGCACTCGAAAGTTTTACGCGTAATTATAAAGTTTTGTTGTGTTTGTTTTCTTTTTACTGCCTTTTATGCTAGAGACTCGCTGCTGGAGGTGTGTATAAAAAAGAAAAATGACTTTGGTTCATTATTTATAGTTTCCGGAAAAAAATGCCACGTCATTGAACATTGAGTCATTGAGTGGTCGTACGAATTTGATAATCGATTGCAGTAATGCAATAGGTATCGGAAATTTCAAAATTTATTTTGGGTTCGTTTACAATTTATATAGAGTCTGACGAGTAGGTACTCAATATTAGAAAAATTCTTGATTCAGTTCAAATTCGAGTATTTGATTGGACATTTTTTTTTTTGTTCTCGTTAACATTCGATTTTACTCGGACCGGCTGACGGTGCTGTTAGGTGTGACACTGTTTTAGGAGGAAAGGGAGAATGTAATAATTCATAATGTACGTGATTTATGTCTGTATACGCAACGACAAACTATTGCTAACGAAAAATACTTTAAGTAAAGTAAAATGTCCGGTTTTAGTCATTTATCGAGAAAATTACAGGGAATATCGAAATATCTATAACAGATGCTATAAGGTCCTATAAAGTTTCAGTGTAAGATTTCAGGTAAAAAAAAAAAGCTAATGCTGGGAATGAGTGCGGCCACTATTGTAGGCAAGAAGTCGGGAAGATAGGATACATAAGATTATTTTATTTATATCTGTAACCAACAATAAACCATTGCTGACGAAAGACGATTCCGAGCGCATTTCTGTAATACATAATTTGAAGTGCCGTAATTTTTTTAACTTAACCTTTCTAAGTTTTTTCCCAATTATTATAAAAGCTGATTCGTAAATCAAAAAATGACTTATGTATTTACTAAGTAGATATAATTAACTTTCAGAAAATATGCCACACTTATACATCAGAGTAAGTTTTGTAGAATAGAAGTGTTCCACAGTATATAAAAAAAAAAAATACCATTGTAAAAAAATTAAAAAAAGAAAAAAAAATTATTTCGATGATTTTGGATATTTTACCACGTTTAGGTCCAATATAAGTATTATTACCGAGTCTCAAGTCTCTACGTGTATTAAAACCCAATTACAGTAAAAAACTCCCAAAAAATTAAAATTATTTAAAAGCTCAAAGTGGCTCAAAAATATTGGCGATAAAACCGTAAAAAAATAAATCAAAAAGGTAACAAAAAAGGTATTTTGTGATTTTTTGATTAAATCATTTTTTCTGGTAGAAAACGTCGTCCGTGTTTTTATAAAATAATAAAATCGTGAAATTGTACGTTTTTCTACGTTTTTTTTTTCCACTTAAGTGCTTTTATTTTAAAAAATAGCGTTGAAAACCAAAAAAATGACCTTTTTTAAAGTACAATGTAGACAACTTGAGATTTCAGAAAAGTTGCTACACGTAAAAACTGAAGTAAGTATACTAAGAAAAACCGTGTCTACAGACTAGAACAAAGAAAAAAAAAGAAATAAACATCTTAGTAAAACCAATAGCTCCTTCACTACGCTCGGTATCTAAAAGTCGTTTACAGAAAAACGAAAACACATCAAAATAAAAACAAATAATATTTTCTTTTTGCTCGAAATGTAAGAAAGAAAAAAAATTTCACTGTTAATAAGTTTTTGCTCTTAGCCGACGATATGTCAATATTAGAACTCTGTATTTACGTTACGCACTTTGAAAACGGACCGATTCCAAAAAAAAAAAAAACAAAACCAATACTCGCCCGATTCGAAACATTTATGTTATGACAGATAATGTTAATGGCAAGTGGAACGATAAGGCTTCGTTAGTGCGACGATAGACATTCCTGTTAAGCCGACTGTGAGTCGCACCGCGAAACTAACACGGAGTGGGCCGTCGACGATTATGTAACAAAAATATAGACGGAAAATATTGCGTAATACAAGTATTTCATGTATTTTCAGCTCTGATAGCGAATTTAGGAATTCGCCATCGAGAAGAGGGAGGGGTCCGGATAATTTTCATTGGTATATAGAGCAGCAGTTGACTTCGCCCCAAACCATTTCCAACTACCGTGAAAACTCTTAAACGAGAAAACATTAAAATAACAGTGCAATCTATTATAACCACCCAACATACCATGTATGCGGGAAAACAATTTTAGATTTTAGATTTGACGAAAAATTGTTTGAAACAAAAAAAAAAAAACAATTAATCGACGATTAGCACGGTAATTTTAAAAATATTACAATAACGCTTGTATAACCGTTGACAAGCGTCAAAACGTTTTGTAACCTTGTCAACGAAAATACAAGTGTTAAAATGGTCTGATGATACAGTTTTCTCTTTAAACGGCTGCGTGCAGGGGCTCTGGGGCTGCAGCCTGATGCATGCCTCAAGAGCCATGAGCTCGATAAGACGGTGCTTAGTTCCCCATGGTTCTCATATTAAAAAAAAAAATCAATATTCGTCATATACATCCTCAAAATACTAATTTTATTTACAACGAATTATTTGAGATAGATAAACTTTTTTTTATTTTTTGATATCGATAGCAGAGAAAAAGTGTAGATTATCTCGTGGTTCTTCATGACCCTATACAATTTTATAACATTCGAAACAACAAATAAATATATTTTAGTAATCGCTTAACGAATAATTCAACGGAAATAAAAATATAATATGCTAAGGTTTAGGTAAAACCGGACGCGCGTTTATAAAATAGTGAGCTCCCCCGCGACGTTTCCGAAACCCGGCGTCTTCGGCTGCGCGTGCATTGTTTTTTTTTCATCTTTCGAATATATTGTTTTCTCGACAATCGGAATGTTCGAACGCAATATTATATTTAACAATATTATTATGTCCTGTCGGCTTGAGACCGAAACTCGCCAACAGAAAACTAACGCATTAAATCATATGTACGGCTTAATTCGTTTACGAACCGCTCGTATTTACTGTCGGACCGTAGTGTCGTTTCCGTAACCTACCGCAATTATAGACGTGCCTACATAATATTTTAATATCCGTGCATTTGTCTTGCAGGTAACACGATTACGCGTACAATTGGATAATTCGAAATGCAACGTGACGTTCGTGCGTGCGACCGAAACCGGGAAAAGTTCACGAATTATATTAGTATAGGCGATTATACGCGTTTGGCAAAGCTTCGGAAACCCGCAGTAGAGTGTGACGTCGTTGCAGTCGTGAGTTTTTAATTAAGCGCCTACTCGAACATGCCCCGACCGTTCACGGTATCCTGTCGGGTGTCCGGACGGGTCACGTTAATGTACCCGGCCCGGACGCGCCGTGCGCGGGATTGCTGTTGTGTGCCCGGGCTGCTGCTGCTACTGCGACGCGTTATTACGTCGCGCCGTGCGCGTTCAAATCGTCGAAATCCATAATACGTCGAAAACAATATACAGTAAATATTGTGATCGTGTCGCGTTATAAAACCGTTGTTTGCGTCCGATAAAATGTTTGCATAACAGTTTACGGCTTTGTTTCAAAATCATCAACGCGCGCCGTTGAACCCGCCGAACACCATAAAATGTATAGGGCGCCAATATCGTAACACCGTTTTCGGCGTCTGCCCGCGCTCGGACCGCGGCGCGGTAGCCGGCAACAACGGCGCGATTTTAGCCGATTGAACACACGCATTGTCGTTCCCCCGTCACTGTGATATCACGCCGACGCAAGCAACCGTGTAATGTCGTTGAAATACAAAAATAAAATACGCACCGTGTCCGCGCCTATAATGCGTCGTGTCGTCGGAAAGCCGAACCAATTGTTTTCCGAGGCGATATAAAATATGTATACGGTACAGGTATCTTCCTCCCCCCGCCCCCGCCCCCTCTCCCCCCCCCGTATCATATCCAGACCGTAATTACGACACTGAAACTCGACCCTAACCCCATTTCGCGGGCGCCGGCACGTTAATAATTGGTATTTACGATAATAATAATTACCATTATCGTCTTCAAAGCGGTATACGGTACACAGGTAGCTCCGTTCGGTGTTCCTATATGTATTATACGATAGTAATTAGGTATAATTTATAAGCCATTGTTGCGTTGTTTTTTTTTAATTTTTTTTTTCGTATGTTATTACAGTAAATGTGTGTTCCATGGTTTTTTTTTTTTTTTACGCGTGCGAAACGGTTATGGGACACACACACTGGGTGTAAATCGGCGGTTTTGACTCGACGAGTCTACCCGATCGTTAATTACATTAACTATACAGAGTGTCCCACGAAGATTGGAAAAACGCTATAACTTTTGTTTTGTTCAAATTTATGTTTTTTTTTTTATTTTTTAACAGGTACTTACACTGTGAATACTCTATTTTATATTTCCTGAAACTAAAATTGTAATTTAAAAAAAAAATTGTTCTTATAAAATCTAAGATAGCCATATTTCGAAACAGAATTTCGGTATTACAACTATTTACTTATAAAGAATTGAATTGTCGGGTTTCTACAAGTTTTTGATATTTACAAAAATCATTAATAAAATTATTCTCCATGGAAAAATTGGTTAAACGATTGATATTATTTTTTGAAGTTTAAGTTAAATTGTTTTCATTGCCACTATTATGGTAAATAATATCAATCGAGTTACCAATTTGTCTATACAAAGTAATTTTCCTAACGGTTTTTGTAACAATTCAACAAATTGTAGAAACGGTTCGTTATTAGCAAATATGTGTAACATGAAAATTTTGTTGAAAAATATATTTA